CTCGTGGAGCTGGAGACAGCGGTGGTGGTGCAGGGACGGTCGCGGGGCTTCTCTGGGGCTGGGATGGGCCCCTCCCCTTTGCTGGCTGGGAGGCACCCCGACTCCCTGCTGGGACCCCCTATAACTGACCGCTTCCAATTCTCGGCCCTGGCGTTTGGGATGGTGGAGGAGACGCTTTCTCTCCGTCTCACACGTGCGCTGGTGAATACGTTTTCGGCCTGATTTTTATTTCCTGTGAGCTTGATGAGCGTGATGTAGCTGATCATGCTAAGGTTGACTCACTGTCGGGAGTGAGAACTCGAGGCCGCTTCCTGGCACGGGGTAAGTTTGCCAGCTCAGGCCGTGGTGAGCCGTCCTGTGAACAGCCTCAGGGACATCACGCTTCTCCCTCCGTGTAAAGTCTGGGAATGCACTTGTTCAACAGGCATTCTTTTCTCGGCCCTTAGACGTGGGGGTGGACTCGGGCTGGAGGGCTCCCGACGTGCCCATTAGGGGAAGGACCTCAGCGCCTGTGTGGGTCCCCGGGGGCTCCTGTGGCAGAGAACCCCCAACTGGGCCCTTTAGACAGTAGACGTTTACTGCCTTGCAGTTCTGGAGGCCAGAGGGGCACGATCAGGGTGGCAGCCGGCCACACGCCCTCTGGAGCCTAGGGGAGCCTTTCTGGTGGCTCTCAGCGGTCCTGCTGCCTCAGGAGGACACTGTCCTGGGGCTCAGGGCCCACCCCGATCCAGGATGACCTTATCTAACTCACTACAGACCCGCTCCCAAGTAAAGCCACGCTCTGAGGTTCTGTGACTTTGGGTAAACACTCCTCAGCCACCGTGCCTCCTGAAATTGGAGAAAGCTCGGGTAGCAGAGCCCTAATAAAAGGAGTCAACTCAGCACAGGCCACGGGGGCCCTGGGGCGAGTGCGCGAGCTGTGAGAGCCCTAGAGGAGCTTGGTTATCGTCAGGGGACACCTGGTGGCAGCAGGGCTCACAGCGCTGTCTGCTGGTCCGACCCCGAAGGCACCGTTCCAAACCGGAGCAACGCCCAGCCCCGCCCGCGGATCGCCTGCCTCCTGGCTGAGATCACCCCACAGCACTGCTTGCAGATGGGCCTGGTCCCCCAGCCCCTGCTGTCCCTGCTGTGTGGCCACCTGTCCCCTGGCCCAGGGCCCTCCCAGCTTAGGAGCTTCCCATGGACACCGGTGATGATTCCAAAGGCTCCTTTTCTCCGGTTCTCTCCTGTGGGCTTCTCCACCATCATTCCAGTCAGCCCCCAAGTCACTGCCATCTTGCGTTTGTGCACCGAGCTCAGAAGGCCCCAGGAGAGCAGGCCTCCCCAGTGGGGACACAGCACTCTCCTGGCCCCCTGACTGGACAGGCCACTGAACCGTCTTCAGTTGGGTTAACCCGTGACGCAGCCTGTGTCGGTTTTTTTCTGTCCTCCCTTCTCAGTCGGGGGACAGTCATGTTGCCTCCTGGTCCCCGTTCACTCATACCAGCCCCGGCGGCACATTCTGCAGAGTAAGCCCACCCCCTAGGCAGACACTGCCTGTCCCCCCTCCACGGGGCCAGGCCCTGGGTGCTCGGGCTGCACGGAGCAGAGCATCAGGAGCAGAAGGGAGCCACGTTGCCTGGGTGCCTGGCGGGGGCGTCGGATGGACTGGGGTTCCGTGTTCTTCGCCTCCCGAGCCCTTGCTCTGTGAATTGTCAAGTGTCTGTAATTGGACCTAAAACCATATACTTTGAAGTTATTGTAAAAACTTAGTGAGAGTTCCAGCGCCAGGCCGGTTCGCTGTGATCGTGGGCAGAATCCACAGCACGTGGACAACACGTGGCGGTCGCTGGCACCGTGAAGATTCGGGAAATGGGCCCTAAGCCACGTGACCATAATAATGCCTCTCCCACCAGGTGGTGTGCTTTTCTAGAGCGTTCCTCGCTTTCCTGCTCTTTCTCCACCTCGGAGGGAGAATTATTCTTCCTTTTCAGAGTTGATCATCTCTGCTCTGTCCCTTCCCACCTGTGTCAGAACTTACGTACGTGCTCCATCTCCTCATCTCTGTTGGCTGCCTTCCCTCAGCCCCCACTTCTCAGTCACGTCTGAGCCCCATCAGTCCAGCAGATGTCTTCTACGCACGACCGCGCGTTGGGGACCAGGACATGACGGGCAGAGCGCACACTCCCAGTTCTGCTCCCCCGGCTCAAGCAAGATAGTGACCGAACCCTTCGCAGGATCTGCTCTGGCCTTGGCCCAACCCGTGTCCCTCGCGTGGGGCTCTTCGCCTCGGATCCCAGCTCACCGGCTTCATCTCACCGCAGTCCACAGTCGCGGTCCTCTCCACCTCACGGAGGGAGCATCACCGGCTTCATCTCACCGCTGCCCACAGTCGCGGTCTTCTCCACCTCACGGAGGGAGCACCACCGGCTTCATCTCACCGCTGCCCCCAGTCCCAGTCCTCTCCACCTCACGGAGGGAGCATCACCGGCTTCATCTCACCGCTGCCCACAGTCGCGGTCTTCTCCACCTCACGGAGGGAGCACCACCGGCTTCATCTCACCGCTGCCCCCAGTCCCAGTCCTCTCCACCTCACGGAGGGAGCATCACCGGCTTCATCTCACCGCTGCCCACAGTCGCGGTCTTCTCCACCTCACGGAGGGAGCACCACCGGCTTCATCTCACCGCTGCCCCCAGTCCCAGTCCTCTCCACCTCACGGAGGGAGCATCACCGGCTTCATCTCACCGCTGCCCACAGTCGCGGTCTTCTCCACCTCACGGAGGGAGCACCACCGGCTTCATCTCACCGCTGCCCCCAGTCCCAGTCCTCTCCACCTCACGGAGGGAGCACCACCGGCTTCATCTCACCGCTGCCCACAGTCGCGGTCTTCTCCACCTCACGGAGGGAGCACCACCGGCTTCATCTCACCGCTGCCCACAGTCCCAGTCCTCTCCACCTCACGGAGGGAGCACCGCTCACCTGGTCGCCTCCTCTGACGGTTTCCTCAGGGACCGTCCTGCCCCTCCCTCCCCTTTGGGGGATTCCTCTCACACCCTGTAGATTCATCCGTGTCTTTGTTCCGAACACTGACTCCGTCTCTAATCCACGTCTGGGGTGTAATTACTTGACCGTCTTTCCGCTCTGCCCTAAGCTCTGGCAGGGACTGTGATGGTTTCGCTCATAGTTCTGTGCACGGCCCAGTCTCAGGTCCGTCTGGTGGGAGGAGGGGGGGAGGGTCTGCGGGAGCCGCTCAGATAGAAGTAAACTGTGTGTCTCCTGCGTGAGCAGAGCAGGATAATGGAGTTTTACCCGGGTGCGAAGAGGGCGCAGATCCAGCAGTTAGCTCACAGGTGTGGGTGCAGGTGTGAAGTCATCAGCCAACACCTCCAGAAAGAGGAGCAGGCACTCGCTCTGCAGATGAGGAAGGAAGTGGGATTCAGGCCGAGGGAGGGGAAGGGCTTCTGCGAAGCTGTGAAAGAACCAGTGCCGTGAGCGAGGCGGGTGTGACTGGGGTGGGGGGGCGTGTGGACGGGCTGACAGCGGGCACACTGGTCCTGAGGTTTCCGCTTCCTGTGGAATCGAGCGTGTCTGGAAGGAGCCAGAGATGGGCTTGCATTTTTAAAAAGACTTAACAACTGGAGCTCCCTCTGAAAAACTGTTGGCACTTTCTTACAAGGTTAAACATACACCTGTCCTGTAGACTGGCATTCTACTCCCAGTTACTTACCTGAAATTGAAAGAAAAAAAATATATATATATATGTGTGTGTGTGTGTGTGTGTATGTATATGTATTCCTATATAATAAAAGCAAAACATGTAAATTAACCATCCCTCTGCTACGCTCACCAGCCAATCAGAGTGGACATGCAAATTAACCTGACAAAGATGGCAGGTTAATTTGCATACACAGGCACCGGGCAGCTGGGCCGGGCAGGTACTTCCCCTGCGTCGCCATGGTCATGCTGGGGAAGTTCTGGCCCCGTGGCCACTTGCGCACGCACTGGCGCTGGGGAGCCAGGGTCGGGGCGGGCACGGAAGCTGGGGAACCAGGGGCGGGGCCTGGAGCTTCCCCCCCACGTCGCCATGGCGGTTCTCGTTTTGTGGCCGCTTGTGCGCGCGCCAGCACCAAAAGGCCTGTGTCCCCGGGACAGGTGTCCTCGGGAGCCAGGCCACCCTGAGCCTGTAGGCCGGCGCCTAAGCCCGGAGCGGCCGGGGTCCCGGAACGTGAGAGGGTGCACGTTGGGCTGAGGGGACTTCCCCGCCCCCTGCACGAATTTCGTGCACCAGGCCCTAGTATGCATATAGAAGACTTACACAAAAACGTTCTGACAACTTTTCCATAAGAGCCAAAGCTGGAAGCAATTCAAGTTTCCATGAACAGGTGAACGAACATATAAACTGGAATTTCCATAGAATCGGGTGCTACTCAGCCACATGCTAGTAAGGAGCGAGCACTGATCAGTGCAGACGCCTGATGCATCTCACAGGCCACGTGCCGAGCTGAAGAATCCAGACACAGATAAGCCGCATGGTGTGAGTCCGCTTACACAGTTTGGGAGCAGGCAGCGCTGACCTCTGGGAACGGAGGGAGGGGCTCCGGCCTTCCTCACTGAGACCCCCAGAGGAGGAGAGGGGGCCGGAAGAGAGGAGAGGCAGCGTCACCAGGCGGAAACGAATGGGAGAACGAAATGGGGGGACACTTGAGATTTTGGAGACCAGCCTTATCATTGAGATTCCTGCAGCTGAAACATAAAATTACCCGGTTTCCTGAGGCACAGGTGGTGGGGAGACCCGTGGATTAAACGTCGGAGAGCCTGGGCCCATCCTGGCTCGTCTTGCCCTCTGTGTGTGACAGGAAGGTCGCTGTCACTCGCGCCTGTTTCTTCATCGCAGGAAGAGAGAAGTCCTGCCTGCTGTCCCAGAAGATAATCTAGGAATCTGTTCAGCATTGTGGTGAGGGACTTCCATGTTTAAACGGCCCGAGTGTAATGATTCCTCTGCAATTGTCTGTTTCCAGGGTGCCGACGTGTGGGCCGGGAGAGCGCACGCTGGGACATGCTGACCACAGGCTTCCCGGCCGCCGAGCCCCACTAGGCCCCACGGACACCGTGGCTCTGGCTGCGCCTCAACATGAGCAGCCCACAGTAAGTCGCACGGAGCTGCTCCCTTCCTGGCCCTTTGGGGACAGAAACTCCCGGTGGCCAGCTGCGTTACTTGACGTTATTGCTTATTTTTATTGCTTTCAGAGAGGAAGAGAGAGAGAGAGAGATCACGATGAGAGAGAATCATTGACTGGCTGCCTCCTGCACGCCCCGCACCAGGGATCGAGCCCCCAACCTGGGCATGTGCCCTGACCGGGAATCGAACCTTGACCTCCTGGTTCATAGGTCAGCGCTCAACCATTGAGCCACGCCAGCCAAGCAGAGCTAAATATTATTAGTCTCGGAAACTCAGTCCCCCAGGAATACCCCACTGGTCCGAAAGCTCTGTGTTTAGTTCATTATCCTTAGTTTTCTTGGGACCCGCAGAGAAGAACAGGTTCAACCCAGAACCTCCTTTTTTGAAAACATCTGGAAGAGCTGGGTCCCCCATAAACACCCACTGGCCGCCCCGTGGCTGTGCCGCCTGAGGGCCTGGGGTCGTTTTGTAAATGCCTCACGTTGAGGAGCGCGGCTGCCTGTGCCTGACGGGGCAAAAGCAGGGCTTGAAACAGACCCACAACCAGAGTCGGGCCTGGTGAACCCTGCGGTTCGGGCAGCTCCCCTGTGGGGTTCAGATGGAAACCCCACTGTTCCCTCGGTTACCCGGACGATTCAAGCAAAGAGAAGCAGGCGGGTTGGGCTCTCAGCTCCCTGGGTAACTGCCACTGAGCGTGGCTGTGAGTTCATGGTGGGAAGAGACCTGAGCGGCAGAGCTCCCCAGTGTCGGCCTGTCATCCTCCGCGGCCCCCCTTCGCGGGTGGGTGAGGGCCTGCACGGAGGGGACTGCCTGTCCGCCCCCAGGCCGGCCGCCCGAGGAGGACTGTCCGAGGTGGAGATCATCTCCCAGCAAGGGGACGAGGAGACCAAGAGCATCGCTGCGGGGCAGCTGGCCAGCTTTGCGTATCGGGACTTGCCCCTGGCCCCCGTCGACCTCTCCGCGGCGGGCTCGCAGCTCCTGTCAAATCTGGACGAAGATTACCAAAGAGAAGGGTAGGTGCTGGGGCCGCCTCTGGCTACCTCCCTGGGCACGCAGCGGGCCGAGGTGCCGAGAGGGGTGGGTGGGGGACCACGCAGGCCCTCTCCCCGGGAAAAAGGCTCTGGGCTTAGCAATACCTGCCGTCGCTAGACCAGGTCTCAGGTCGCTGTGGCTCGGAAGTCAGAGAAAGCCACTGGGTGAAGTTTAAGGATTGACATTCTCCCTAAGGACCCACCCACCGCGCTCTGGGGGTCACCGAGCCCCTGAGGAGTGGGCTTGGGCTGCCCTGCCCTGGGCCAGCCAGCTCTGCTTTGATCTAAAATGACGGTTCCGGGCTGTCTCCGGAGCTGGTGAGAGTATTGGTCAGAGTCACATTTTTACAGCTTGGGTCCCGTTTGTTTTCCAAACAAAAAAAAATGTTTTCCCCAGAGAAATTGCCCAACAGTTGTGAAACCTTTTATGAAAGCGCCACCCAGTGGCTGTCTCTGGAAATACAATTTGCTCTGAGTGCTGCGCGGATTCGGCAGGAAAAGGGCCAGGCGGGTGCGAGGGCGGGCTGCCCCCTGGTGGTCACAGCGGTAGTGCGCCCCAGGCCTTTAGGGTCCGGGTCTGCCAACAGGAAGGCCTCGAAGGGTGCTGGTCGGGCAAGGCCCCGCCTGCAGCTGTGGGCGTGGGGTCGGGAGGAGGCAGAGGCCCAGCCTTAGCGTCACTGCGTTTGCTTCTGAGCTGGCTCTTCCGTCAGGAGGGCGCGGAGGAGGGGCCACGGGCAGCGGCTCCTGGTCTGACTGAGCGCCAGGCCGCCAGGAAAGCTGCTCCTGGCCGTGGCGGTGCTGCAGGCAGCGGAACGGCACCAGGTGTCAGACCAAACCTGGGTTCGGCCCCTTGGTTCTGGGTTCTGGCTCGGAGAGCATTCAGAGCAGGCCCCTCCTGTGAGAGAACATTTACTCGGTAGCTCTCCCAGTTCTAGAAGCAATTCCTGGGAGAGAGGGGCTTAGGGACCAGTTGTAGAGGTAAAGGAAGGGCCCTTGGACCTTGGGAGCGAGGGCGCTCATGGTCACTGCCTGGGGCGGGGAGGGGGGGGGAGGGAACGGCATGGGCAGGCGGGCGAGTGCCCTGGGTCCCGTCCTCAGGGCTCTAAGGGTGGAGGTGGTGGAGGCCCAGGGAAAGATCTCAGTAGAACGGTCTGCAGTTTCCCAGGGGTGTCCTCTCAGGGTGGTGGTCTCCTCTGACTGGCCGGCACCAGGGCGGGGTCAGTGTTCGGTACAGCGGCCCCGACCGCAGCAGTGGCTGGTCTCCTGCTTCTCTGTCTGGGCTGGGAGCTGAAATACAACTTGAGGCGCAGATGTTCCCTCTCGGAGGGAAGGTCAGGGGCCCACACCACCCGGCCAGGCTGTGCTGGGGGAAGAGTCCCTGCAATGGATTGTCCGTGGCTGGGCACCTGGCTTTCCCCTGTGACTCTGTGCCTGGCCCATCTGTTGCAGAGACCAAAGAAAAACCAAGCGACACTTTAGAGAAAAGGAGGGACACTGTTTGATACGCCGGCGGACTCAGGGAATAACTTCCCAAATCTGAGTGAAGGCACACGCAGGGGCTTCTCTTTATATCTCCCTGTGGTCTTTGTCCTGCAAACATGGATGATGCTTCTGGTCCTTTTCGCAGGCCTTGCAAGAAGGCCCCAGGTGTTGGGGTTCTCCAGGCCATGGCCTGGCGCCAGCGTTAATATCCCTCCCTCCGGGGCAGTGCACACTGTTATGGCCTCTGTAACAGGTTCGGCAAGACCAGTATCTGGGAAGGAGGTGGTGACTTCATTATAGATTGTCAAGAAGGGACACTGAGCTTGCTGGCATGGATTCCAGTTGCTAACCCCCAAATATCGGGGTTACATTGGAATTAGCCCTTTTCAGCTTCTTACATCATCCTTGCTCTGCTCACGGCTGCCACCACAGTGGGAGTCAGTGGTGAAGGGATTTGTCTCGCTGTGGGCTCTGCGGGGCTCACTTGGCAGCCCGAGAGCTTCCCGGAGGAAGGAAGCCAGGGAGGAGGAAGCGAAGCAGAAGCTCGCTGCGCGGGTGGGGGTTGGGGGGGTGCCTCTCCACACGCACAAGGCTCTGGGCTCGGCTGCATCTCCCGGGCGTCCCCACACCCCCACCTGCCTGTCTGATGCAGAGCCCGGGGCGCGCGGTTCTGCTCGGTCTCTGCAAAGCTTCAGTGAGGTCTTGTCAGACACCCCTCTTCCTGCTGGGTCTTTCCCGCAGGAAACGAGGGACTCCGGGGACCCGGCGCCCCACCATTCACTTCCCTTCGGTGTTTTGAAGTTTCCCAGAACCTCAGAACGTTGGAGCTGGAGCACAGCTCCGAAGTGTCTGGTCTCAATATTCTGCTAGGACAGCAGAGTCCGGTGTGGGAGGAACTTGCCCAAGGTCACACCGTGACAGAGACACGCGGAGCCCCACCCCTGGCCCCTGGTGCAGGCCACGCCACGGGCTCTTGTCACCAGTCCCTTTCCAGCGCCTCACGTTGAGGCCGTGGTTAACATGCACCGAGTGTGGGATGCGACTGCTGGCCACGCTGTCCAGTGCCTGCCCCCTTGTGTCCCCCCAAACCCGTGACGGGCAGGCACTGGCGTGGTGGGGGGGCACCACCTGGTCAGGTCCTTGCCTGTGGACTGTGCCTCTGGTGCCGGGCCAGGCCGCGGGGCTCGGGGAGGAAGAGCAGACGGACAGCCAGGGGCTCCGGCTGCCACAGCAGAGCACAGACCAGTGGCTTAAACAACAGAAACTTGTTTCTCCCAAGTCTGGAGATGGGAGTGGGAGCAGGTGCTGACGGGGGCGGTGAGGGCTCTGTCCGTGGCTGCACGTGGGACAGAGTGAGGCCCAGCCACGTGTCTTCCCCTTCTTACGGGGCACTCGTCCCAGCACGGCCGCTCTGAGCTCATCTGGACCTGTTACCGCCCAGGGCCCCGCCTCCAACGCCATCACACCCGGTGTCGGGGCTTCAGCCTGTAAATATTCGGGGGCGGGGGGCACAAACATTCAGCCCAGAACAGCACCTCCCACACTCGGGGTCTGCGTCCCACCTGCTTCTCAGTCCTCGGTGGTCCTGGTTCACGTTCCCTCCTGGTCCAAGGGGTCTGTTTCAGGCCCGCTCCATGCCCTGAGCCCCCGTGGCCCCCACAGACGACCTCCTCTCCTCTGAGGCCGACACAGTCGGGGTGGGCTGCGCCCCACCCCCAGGCCCTTTCCCGGGGCTCCTCACCTCCTCCCACCTCCACGAGCTCTCACCAGGGCAGCGGCACCGTCTCCTTCATGGCCGGCCTCCCACATTCTCCCGAACCCGTCCTGGTCCAGGTAGCTGCCACACCTCGCTCTTCCTCTGCAGCCAAACTCCGCAGCCTCTCGGACCCGGGCCATGTCGCCCGGCCCCTCCCCGTCGCCCTCAGTCCCTGCCGTCTAGCTTCAGCCTCGTCACCGCCATCAGCCTGGTGGTGTGGGGCCCCGGGTTGCCTCTGGGAGAGCCAGTCTCCATCCAGAGCAGACCCGTCGGCCTTTGGAGTCTCGCTCTAATCGGGAGAGGCCAGGAGCTCAGTGGACGTGATCCGTGCACTGGATGCAGTGTGACTCGTGTCCCGTCTCCACCTGGCTCTGTGCTTTCTCGTAACCAGGCTCTGGTCCTCGTGCTTTGGCGTTGGGCATCACCCCAGTCACCGGGGAAACCGAGGCACAGGGCTCTCTCTCCTCAGGGACCGCCACCACCTGGGAGGAGGGGCACTGGGTTTGCGGGAGCCGCCCCCTGGTGCAGACTGGAAGCCGCACCTTCTCTCCGCCTGGCCGGCGTGCGGGTCTGGGCTGGACGGGAGGCCGCCCGAGGGGAAGGCCAGAGAGGCCGAGTCTGCCGGGAGCCGCACGGCGAGAGGAGGACGGCCAGGCCGGGGTGGTGAGCTCCAGGGGTTCATGGCGAGTTGGGGGGTCTGTGCCAAATGCATAAGGAAAGCCAGGAGTGAGAGATGAGCGGCCTTTGACATCAGTTACAGGTTAGGGTTCTGAGAGGTCTGACCGCGAGGCCCCACGTGGGGAAGCCGGGGGGAGGCCGCGTGGACAAGGGCTGCTGCCCCTGGGGGTGAGGCGGGGGGCACTCTGCGGGAACGTCAGTCAGAGACAACGGGCACAGGGGCGGTGTGAGGCGTCAGGCTGCAGTCAGGGCCAGGACAGCACATCTTCGTAAGCAGAGGCTCACATGACGGCAGAGCTGCCAGCAGAGATGGGCTGCAGGCAGAGGGGGCGGGAGGAGCCTCG